AAACCTTCACCCTTTCAACTGCTGCACCTGCTTAGGTTCTTACACTGGTTTTGCACCAGTGGGTCGTTAAATTCAGTCACCTAAACTAAGAATTTGATTCATTCTAGAGCTAAAAAAAGTCAAAGGGACACCTCCAGGAGCAATACTATGATGAAGGCATTCAACACTAAACTGTCACAAACATAGTTTGCATGGCATAAGGATCTAACAAGTGATTATGCCAAGGCAAGACAAAAAGATGTCTAATTTTGAGTCTTCATGACTCAGTTTACTGCTGTACACGAGAAAAGCAGGTCACGTTTTCACAAAATATGTCATTGAGTGTTTAATCATCAAACATGTTCACAAAGCACCAATTTTTGGGAGAATTAACAGCATTTTGAGGGACAGAATTGTAGTTCAGAACTCCCTTGATAAACTGAATGAAACTCTACCCTTAATAGGAATAAAACGTAAAGACGGAAAATAAGGAATCGGGACAAAGGCAGCAATACCTACAGGAAAGGGTTTAGGACTTTTATCAGGCACCTCCTGCACAATACTCAGATGCTCCTGCAATAAAGGCAAGTTGCATACACTTACAGGATTCTGCATAAAGACAATGGCACTCCAAAGGATCACTGTATCCAAATTCCATACGATTTTATGCTGAGGGTCCAGACTGACTACTGTGTACAATTCCAAGGAACATAAGACTGAAATCTCAGCTTAACTGCAGAAACAGCACAATTGAAAGAAGATGCCCTACGATGAAAATGTAGAAATATTAATAAGGAAAAGACAGAGTGTGTGGAATTGGAGGGAGACTAAAGGAAACGTCAGAATACCTGCTTCATAAGATATCAAGGAAGTTCTAAGTTTAGGAAGACAATCTCATAAGAGAGCAATTTAACCACTGTTAGTAAAGACTCAGTTTAGATGCTAGTAAGGGCTCTACAACGTTGTCCTTAAATTTTCTATAAAATATAATTTATTGAAGGGTTTAAACAGGCCACTTGAAGAGATGAATTTGTTGTTGTTGTTGAACACTTCAGAAGAGATTCACAAAACATCCACTAAGAATTTTCCTGGAATATTTATCCTTCCTCAGAGAACAAGGAAGATAGATGAGATGAGGTTCAGCACTAAATCTCTATTATTCTACATTATTTATCAGACTGAATCTATTACATTGCATAGAGATGTTGATTAAAAGGCCTTGTATAGATAGTGTTGTATAGTCAATCAGTGCCTGATTGTTGCCCTTGAGTATAATTCCCCTTTGAAACAATTTGCAGACTGTTGCTAAACATTAGGAAAGAGAAGGATCAGCTATCTGCATGACAACAGTTGGGAATGGCTTGTGTAAAGAGGCCAATGGGACACAATACCCAAAGCTTTCAGAGTGCCTCACAGCACCCCTGAGTTGTACAATTACCACTGGCACAAGAGCTGTTTCATTACATCCCCAAACTTCTGTGACTGAATTTGGCATCTTGAATTCCCCAGCCATATTTAATTTAGCTATTTAACGTATGTTTGAGTGTTTGTGAGAGACAATGTGATTTATTTTAAAGCTGAATTGTGCCCTGTGTGTACTACAAGGACACGGAAAAAGAAGTTTGGCTGCATTAAATAAACAAATATGAGTAAAATCAGATTTTAAAGCCTCAATTGTCTCAGAGGAAAATAAATTTAGAATGGTGGAGTCCAAGCTACACTTCTCTAAATGTCTCTACTTGATGGCAAGTATTGAGTTAACCAAAAACGATACAGAAACCTGTCCCACCCAGAATTTTAACAACTGTGGTATTTATAGGATCAAGACCCTGCAGCTTGATGATTAATGAAGATTAACCATACCTGCTGACTTGCAGAGTCATCCAAGAGCAAATGAGCCACGAGGAGGTTGTAAAAGGCAGAGCAGAGCCCCTGCAGGTCCAGCCTTCGCAATGGGCTGCAGCACAACCTGCTGCAGCTCGGCTGTGACCCCTGTAAACAATGTTTTCCCAGCCTAAGCCTGCCGTGTCTGTGCCAAAACCTCAGGTGTTAGTCTTTATTTAACACCTTGCTGCTCTATCACACGCTCCTCTACAGTACTTTGAGGCGCTAGACCCCCGACCAGTTTAACACTCAATAGCTGTGCAAAACAGAAGCCGCAGCTCCGGTGGGATCTTGCCCTCAGGACATACTGTGGATTCAGGTCCTCTCCACGAAAGACTTCGTAAATCATACTTCATAACTTGGAAGTGGCACTCACAGGCTTGAAAAATCAGGCGTTTTACAGTCTCTAAGTAAGTCATGGAGGGAAAGCATATGTCTTATTTGGTCAACTTTCATTTCTTTCTATCTTGGTTATGCCGCAAAATTTTCTAATGTGAATGAAGCACTTGCTTCGTAAAGCGCTTAGTTTTGGCTATTATTTGATGCCTTAAGGTCCATCTAGTTTTTTGATTTTTCTGATTTTTATAGGCTTTATAAGTAGTGATATAGTACAAATAGATTTAGAAGGAGCAGCCTTTATTCCCTTACCCTTAGCATAGCAGCTACACACATTCCCCAACCCTATTACCCCATTCCATGCTCCCCATATCAATTCTACCCCCTGAATTCCAGCAGAAATGTTTAGTCTCTTGTCAAGGTAGGCCTATTTTGTTTGGAGAACACTTGTATCTTAGCCTAAACCGCAGAGTACAGTCAAACTCTGAGTGACCGTGAAGAAGAGGATGATTGATGAAGAAAGGGTCCCGAAAAGACCCTCAACTCAATTCCCCAGGGATGGGTCGAGGGTGGCCTAGGGCAAGAGTTAGTGGGTGGACAAAACCTGGGATTGGACAAGCAGTATTATAAACTGTACCATCTGTACACAGGGGTATGCACAAGTCTTGTAACCTTATGCCTAGGCACAAATTAAAACCCTTTCCTTATCTCACCTCCAAAACTAAATTGCCTCAGAGATTTTTTTTTTCTCCCTGAATTTTCTTTAGGCATCAATTTTAACAGCATATATTTCTCCTCATGGAGGCAGAGGCTTATATCTGTAGTCCAGAAGCAGCATTTAGCCTCTTGTCACTATTGAGGAGTTTTCACAGAATCACAGAATATGCCCAGTTGGAAGGGACCCACTGCATTCTGTTCCACTTAGGTAACTCCTTGAGTAACATATGCTCCATCTGAGCCCAGGAAAAACATAACTGCAAGTGGCATGCAAGTTACTGTGCACACAGTTTTTTCCTTACTTTGCACAGCTGTCTAGCCATCCTTAGGATTTTCACTTTATAACAGAAATACAGTGCAAGCCCTTGAACTAAATATCTTTTTCTTCTAATTACTAGCACCTAGCCATGATACAAAGGACAGAAGTATTTATGACTGCAAGCATTCTTTGGATATTTAAATAAGAATCTTACGTTTGTATCCACAAAGGCAGAACAAGCAGACACCACCTGAATAAACTTCAGTTAATTGTGCTAACGTGGGATGAGCACAGCAAGGACTATTTGTGCCACAGATATACAAATTTAGTTATGCATAAACTTTGAAACTCCCACCTGCAAAATTAGAACACCAAGTTCAGATTGCAATCCATACAACAAAGCTAATTAAACAACCTTCCCTCAACTGAGATCCATGGGGCTTTTTTTTTTTTCAATCTATGTAGAATTTCCATTTGCTTCCCACTCTGATAACTTTAAAATTCCTCTGTACTTCAGCAAAGCTTAGTGAGTGTCTCACTGCAAATTCGACATAAAGGCAAAATTCGGGCCAATTTTTTTCCCCATTAGCCATAGAGACATTAACAACTGAAATGAGAAAATTAATGGTGAGAAGTTTCTTTTAAAATAGATGAAGCACCACCATTTCTATTTCTAAACAGTAGCTGATCCTTCAATGCTCTCTTATTCTTAAAAAAAAACCCAACTTTATTAAGAAGTTCATATTAAGCAGATTTCTCCCAAATATTATTAGGAAATTATTTCATTTTGAGGAAGATGGAATTATTCCAACACCAAATAAATTCTCGTTTATTCTAGATTTTCTTATGAAATGTGTGAAAACTGGACAGAGGCCTCTAAGCAAACTCAATAGGAAAACAGGGCTATTAGTTATTGAGTTTGTGCACCATATTTATATAAAAATATAAATATATAAAATACAAAAGAAGCTTCAGGAAGACATGCTAAGTTATTTCTGTCTCCTTGTAGGTCACCTAAATTACAACTTTTGAGTATTTCCCTTGAAAATCTAGAAATGCTTCTCTGAAGCAAGTGAAATCTATCTAGAAATCATTATTAAAATTAATATCAATATCATTGTAAATTATAATCAATATCATTCAACAATATTTCTAAGCTTGGAAAGTCAAATAGCAAACGATATCTCATCTGAGAATCAAACCTATCTCCATAATTTCTACCTTCTTTCATAAATATGATGTATATTCTCAGTTTCCAGAATTCCCTTCATGAAGTAGCTGAAAACACCATTTTGTGAATCCTCACTCTGGATTTTAATCCTTTTAATAATGATAAACGTTTCATCCTACTGAATGTGTTCATTAAGTAAAGTACTACCGAGCACAAATAAAACAGCACAATCCAATTTATAACTGATAAAAACAGTCATTACAGCTGCGGCAAACACTTCTCAGAGTCAGAGTCTACACCTCAATGGACAAAAATATCAAGGCAAAGAAACACAAAAAGTAAAATGTGAATAGAACAACTCTCATATTCACTTTGCGTAACAATTTCAGGTGTCCTAAGCTCCAGTTCAAATAACTGATGCTCATTTTTAACTGCAAGAACGTGGAAAGGCAAGCTGAAGTCAAGATACAAGAGCTTTGATCCCTTGAACAGGTTGCATGGAATATAAAACATGCTATGTTGTTCTCATGTCAACATCCACAAATATTTACTTTAGCATAGTCTGCATTCTGCTGTGCATATAAAACCTCCCTTTGAGCCAAGCACACGGTAAGGAAGACTCCAAGAGGTGCAGGTCAGGGAAAGTTCTCTCACCTGGAAAGTTCCTGCATGGTCTTCCTCTTTGTCACCTTCTTTTCCTTCCTTGAGGGCGATCAGTGTGAACCCTCGAAAGTAAGCAGGGGTGGCAGCAGAAAGTGTCACTGAGATACAATGAACAGAGAAATAACGAAAACATAATATTAATTGTGAAATCAGCCACTTGCACATCATTTCACAGCTTGAAAGGTGTGTGTTTTAAGCTGGTATTAATCAAAGCTAGCTCACTAACAACACGGAGCCAAGCCAACCAGAACACAAAATGTTCAGTCCAAGTTTCCACATAAACTGAAAAACACTGGCATGATGTGAAATAACCCCAGCCCTTTTGTTTTTTAAAGCAGATTGATAATCTGCTCAGATCTACAGAGGGTTATTTCACTGTTGGGTTGGGGGTGGGGACACACATGTTAGGGGTTTTTTTTGTTGTTGTTTTAAATGTGAGGGAGCATTTCCTAAATATTTGCATTCAGTTTTTGCCCTGCTCTGAGCACAGACAAGGATCCAGGGATTTTAGTACACAGAAAGTCTCTCTAACTGTAATGGGAGATGACCACATTGCCCACTTCAGCTCAGCTACAATCAGCACAGCACTCCAGCTGGTGGAAATAGGAAATCTTAACTTTCCTTTTGCTTTATCCTCAGGGCAAAACAGGATACAAAGTTCAACTCATGGCTAAAGCTGACCTCTAAAGATCGTGCTGCCAGCTCTGATTCCCAAACCATCCCATACATCAGCAAACACACTCCTCACTCACTTGTCCTGACCAGGAAGGCAGCATTAGATCCACCAGGAGAGAACCGATAACATCATGCTGACTAATCTGATTTTATCATGCTCAGCATCAGGATTAAATCCCTCATTTTCTGCTAGTGCAAGATACCTTTGTACAATTTTTCTGTTTGCCATCATCAGCACCCAAGCAACACCCAGCAACACTTGAGTTACATCAGCTGAGGCTCTTTTGAACACTTTCAGAAAGACATAATGAGGCAGAGCTTTGAGGCAGGACTTCTGAAACTGCCAAACCCTTTTCAGCAACTTATGAGAATCCTCTTCTGAAGCAGGGGTAAGTTCTAGGGGAAAATTCTTTTTGAATGAAAAGAGACAGAAAATTGAACTATGAATACTTTTAAGTAGCTTTTACTTTAAGTGTATTGAATACAGCATTGCTTGTGGTACGTTATTGTCACACTCTCCAACTCTGACTGGCACAATTAAAACTGAAGACCACACACAGTTTTCATGAGCAAACCAAAACCACCAGTGCTGCTTCACTGAAGGTTATCCAGAATAGACTCCCTCTCACACAGATAGGTCATGAGGGGATGAATCACCTTGCTAAAAATGATAGGTAGCCCTCACAATATATGTATTTCAAAATACGCCCAGAGTTCATTTGGAACACAGCGAGAGAGCTTTGATCTAGAAATTCAGTAGTGAAAAAATATAAAATAGGCTATTTGAAAATTTCTAGCATTATGCAGCTGTATTTGGGTCTAAAAATCATGATGTGCTGTACAAATACACAACTTTTCTGGCTATATGTGGAGAAAAAAGGATTGGAGACACTCATTTCAATTTTTAACCTTTTGAGAGTGCCATGCTTAGACCTGTAGACCTGAAAACACCAATACAAATTCGGAGTAGTGATTGACATAATCCCTCAGCTCTCAGGATTTTCAACACAGTTTTCATTCCATGGAATTTTATTATGAGGTTAAACATTATAATTTCGAGGGAGAAAGAAAATTTCATATTTTATATACAGAAACTGAGTAGGATCGTTCCACCATTAAAATTTCTGCTTACTTTTCTAAATGTTTCTCCAATTCGTTAATTCATTTTGTATGATTAGTCTAATTTTGCAAACTTCTGCAGCTCTACCCAAATGAAAACCCACAGCCAGCCTCTCAGTTGCAGTAACTGAGAACAGCACACTGCTAAACCCAACGAGGGCAAATATATTACTCTTGCTTGAACACTAATTCTTAGAAATTAACTGCCATAAAAGTCTTGTACGTGCAACAAATTTTCCCATACCATTTGCAATTCAAAAGTCTGAATCACTATGAGTAAAAAGTGACACCAGAAATACTTAAATACGTATGCAAGCAAACAGAGAATCCAGCTGTGAACTGACTCAACTGTTTTCATCATTTTCCTCACAAATTTACAGATCAAACCAAACAGTTTTCAAAATTCTAAATATTCTAAACAAACATGTATCTATAAAACAGAGGACATCTGAAATCCAACAGAAGCATCAAAAGAGAAATAAAAAAAAAAAAAGGAAGGTAATTCCAAAGCCTGACTCACAGTTTTTGGATGCCTGGGGTTAGCAATACTCAGGCTGTGGTTGCAGTCATTTAAACACAGAATAAATCCATGCTTCCTCCAACATGAGTGATCCCACCCTCCCCAGCCTGCACTGCTCACACAGCAGCCACATCCAGGCAGCTGTGCTCTCAGCTGGGCTAGGAACACATCCAGCTGAGCAGTAAAACAAGCCAACCCCAACTGGAGAGTTCAGTTGGGTCCAGTCCCCGAGCGGCCGCTCTGCAGGCCTGGGAGCGCTTCTGCCAGTGCTGGGGACACACAGACACAAGTGAGGAGCCAGGAGGGTAAAGACCCGCAGGAGCAGAGTGGACTCATGGGATTTTAGTGCCTGTGCAACCTCAGGTCAAGGATACCAAGAGGGATGTGTGCTTTGGTCACCCTGGAGTTAGGCCAGAACACAGGTTAGCACCTGAGCTGAAAAGGTTTCTGTGAATAGTCTGAACTAGCAGTGTGCTGAGAACATCACAGCACAGGGGTTTATTCCAAGCACTCCTAATGCAGAGCCTTGTTCTGGGGATGGTTCTGTAGTCACTGGCTCTGGCCTCAGTGTCTCAGCACAGCAGAGGCTCGCACTGCACAGGCAGCTGTGGGAAGCTGTCAGACCACATCTGGTTTTCACAAGAGAGCGGCTCTTTGTTGCAAAAGAGTTGAGAGTTCTCCTTCTTGGGCTAAACTCCACCGTTTTAAACAACAGCTGAGTATTGCTCACACTGTGTTCACGCTAATTAACGTTCACTGAACAATATGAACTTCCTGTAAAGATCAGTTAAGATCAGTGCAATCTCAAAGTTAAGGATTTTACTTTAAAGGGAAGATTACATATCAGCAGTTACTTTTGTCTGCTTCCATCCCCTCCAGCAAATATCTAATTACCTTACAAGTTGCACTTTGGCACATACCTTCGACATGCTCCTCTTTCCCCAGTGTCCCAAGTTAAAGGTGGGGTGATCAAAGCAATTGCTCCTTTGGTTTCAGGCAGGAAATCTGACTTCCCACATCCTACACTACTGCACATCCTGTGCCGTACATTGCACAAGTACCAACAAATACACTTTCAATATCTACTTTTATCCATATTTTGTGAAAGATGAGAATGGCTAAAAGAGTTACAGCATGAGTGCTCATTTGTAAAGCATAGAGAAGCATTTGCTTGTTGAGTGGCAGAAAGAAATGGAAAGAAAAAGTCTCAACATTCCTTAGAAGAGAAGCCCCCAAACCAATGCAATGAAGTTTTGAAAGAGCACATTAAAAGAGCCTTTCCTCAAAGACTGAGAAAGTGAACTGACCTACAAGTGGAAATTCCATTAAAAAGAGAAACAGCATCCATACAGAAGGTATGTCTACAGATTATAACTGGTCAAATCTCCCTTTTTTCTTCAAAACTTCATGATACTATAGTGGAAAGTATGTCCACTGCATGTTAGCACATGAAATGGACATACTGTCTTTATATTTTAATGGGATTAAACTTGCCTCACCTTTTCATGGAAACCTCATGCAATCATTAATCCAACTCAACAATCAATAAAGCTAGGAGTGAGTATTTTCAAGGATCATTACCCTGTAACACTACCTAAACTTAAGGCTTGCTTGTGCCTTTGAGTGCAATGGGAACTTTAACCTTTAGTGGAAGCAAGATCATCTACATCAAGGTCAAAGTTAACCAGCAGGTAGGAGAGGACCTTGACCCCAGGATGGTGTGCCCATAAACCTGGGACTACAGGAAGACCTGCCCACCAAAATGCATTTGGCTGCCTTCTCAAGGGGAGAGACAACAACCTCACAGCCTGAACGACCAGGCAGATAAGGCCACTTGCAGGCTACAGCATCAGAAGTCCCAAATAAGGTGTCAGAAATCAGTTATGCCACTTCCCCTGTGAGACACCACGAAGACCATAGCCATTGTTGCTTTGTTAGACGTGAGGGAGGAAAGGAGGATGGCTCCTCAGCCCTGCTGCTACCTCACTTTTAATCATCTGAGACAGGAGAATGTGCCCTTATTTACTGCTGCCAGTGTCTGCAGACCAGGGGAGGTGCATACCCACTCAGAGGGGTTATTCAGTACTCAGGGCCACTGTTCTCTGTCACAGTTCCAGAGGTGGAAAACCAAGGCTTCACAGATCCATACACACAGATACACCCAGGATTTCCCCTTGGGGCAAATAGGTTCTGATTGATCTAAAGGTGAATACCTGCAGGAGAGCCCTAAAAACTTCCCCAAAGACAAATGGCAGCTGTGAACTCTGGTCTGATTCCCACACTGCAAGAGTGCTGAGATATTTCCTCCAGCCACTGCAGTTGGAGGGTCTTACACAAGTGTCACATCAACCCATGAGTGAGACCATCATGAAGATAAATGGATGACCCTCTACTGTCACACTTTGGGGAGTACAGCATTTGCATGTACAGTTAATTCCTATGTTATCCACCTTGAAAATACTAGTTTACTCCAAGAGCCCACTAGGGAATGTACCAAGGATCAAGACTGCATTAAATCAAGCAGGGGCCATGGAAATAAGGCATATTTGGCTCCAAGACAAAGGAGGTTGTGCAAGTCCTTTGCCATGCTGCATATATAGTAATTTGCAGCTGGAAAAAAAAATGCAGACCTGACATAATAACTAATTGTTTGAATCATTAGTTGGATTTTCTACCCTTTGTATAAAACAGTAATAAAATTCCAGTTGTCCTGCAGAAATTCCTTTGAAAATGAGCTCTTAAAACTTTCTGCATGCTGTTAGTTTTAACTACTGCCATAGATAATGTATATGTTTCAGTAACATTTACTTATGTTCTTCCAACCATTCAGGAAGTGTCCTTAAATCACAATCTTCACAGGCTAATATACCACCTGAATACTTCAGCCTAAAGTATCAGAAATGTAGGCACATATTTCGTTCTACATTTTAACTTTTTTCTATTAGCTGTAATTTTCTCACTTCCAAGAAGCTATAATATCCTCATGTGGTTTTATTAATTGAGTTCCTAATGTCAAGACCTAATATCTCCCAAAAATTAGTTCTGCTAATTCATCTGGGAATTTCTTTCTTCCTACATCTCCATGCAATAGAAACTTCTTTGTAGATGACTGAAAATACCCAGTAATGCTTTTACAGAAGTGAATTCCAAAACTTTTAAAGAACATTCACATTTGTCACTATCAAAGAACTTGACACATCTTTATCCTGCTTAGTAGATGTATCAAACTGACATGCAACATGAAATCTTTCAGACTCAAGGTACTAATCCTAATGTCTGGAACAGCTAACCAACTTGTGGGACATGTGCATTTCCTCACACCACATTAAAATAAAACATTTTTTGAGAAAAAAAATCAAGTAAAATCATGCATAGTTACAGACTAGTGTTCGAAACAGGTAAATCACTGCTGCAGATGTATTTTTCAACCTCTGAGAAAACACAATGATTATGTTACGTGCACACTTTTTTCTCCCTATCTATACTAAGATTTCCATGTTTGTGCAATTAGAAAACATTGCTGTTTATCCTGAACCTAATGAAGGTCAGAAGAAACACTATGAATAATTTCCCAAAATTTTTTTTCCAAAGTCATCCCTACAAAGTGCACTAGTCATGGAACTTTAAAATGTCCCAATTCTTTTTAAAGTGCTTTTAAAATACAAGGTTAGCAGTACATTCCGAGAAGGTTTATTTCCAAAGGTATTATATAGCGAGGCAGAAAAAGTGACCAAAACCTGCCTTTGCCTATTAATTAGAAAAATACACTGAAATGTGCTTTGGACTTCATTTCAAGGATTGTATGTGACATGCTCAAGGAAGAACGAATGCCTCCATCTCTTATTTACAGTGGTCATTAGCACTGTCTCTGGCTCTTTCCTGTTTGAACCATCTGTTCATTTACCCAGAAGAAAAAGGGGGTGGGATAAACGCAAGTGGAAAATGTGGGAAGTTGGCAGCATGCTGCATCACTGTTTGCCCATATGCTAACTCATTATATTAACATTCATATTTCAGGGCAAGAGCAATTAGCTCCGAGTTTCTTCTTCTTCCTTCCCAATGCTAAAGCTTCTCCTGTACACTGTGTTACGTTTGAAGGGATGGGAAGAAATCCCACAGAAGTAGGTAAACGGGGGAAGAGTGCCGTTTGTATCACGGCAACTTGTGATCTTGTGCTGAGCCGGTAGAGAGGGTTCATAAAGGGAAGGAAATTCCTCTTAATGAGGAATGTTTGGGAGTAAAGTGATACACTGAAATCCAACTCCCTCTCACTTGTCATGAAAGCATCCCCAATAAAGTAATGCGTAGGAGTATATTACCCTGTCTTAACCCACACAGTCACACACACACACGCCAAGAGGGATCCAGAGATGACAGGCAGAGACACGTTACAGTCTCAGAGCCACTCATCCTGGCCATCGTCGTTAGCATGGGATGTAGAGGATGTCCAACTTACCCCGGTAACTGTTTCCAGGCTTGTAAAATTCTGGATCGCCCTCCACCCTGAGGCTGAATTCATTGTACCCTTCCCTCCTGGTGCCTTGGGCTCGCAGGATCCGACTGCAATATCCCTCGGATTTCGCGGCTTTCTCCAAGGTTTCGTCGGAAAAACCCTTCGCCACCAAGGGGAAAGTCAGCGCCAGGAGCCGCAGGGCCAGCGGCTGCAGATGCGCTCCCATCCTCGGAGCAACTTTTTATCTCCGGGGCGGCGGTGCCCGGGAGCGGGGCAGGGTGGGCGCCGGGCCGGGAGGCGGCAGGACAGACAGGACAGGGCAGGAACAAGGCAGGGCAGGGCAGGACAAGGCAGGGAGGGCAGCGCGGTCTCGGGCAGCCCCAGCCGGCAGCGGCCCCCAGCGTGAGCCTGCCAGGTCGGATCGGAGGGACCGGCTCGGCGGCTGCCGGGGAGAGGGAGGGGAAAAGCAGGGAGGGGGCAGCGAGGGAGGGGAGGGGAAAGGAGGGGAGGGAAGTCTGATCTTGCCCAGATCCCGAAGTGAAGTGCTGTTTTGTTTCAGAGCGTGTGATTAGCAGCTCGGTGGTGTTTACTTAGCCGAGGGAATTCACAGGGTTTGGTGGAAGAGCGGAGCAGGGGACGCTGCTGTCTCCCAGACACCCAGCGCGGAGCTGCTGCCGCCCGGGCTGAGCCCACAGACCTGAAATTAATCACCCGCATTCCTGCCAAAGTCTATAGTTACTGTAGGGATAACAAGGCTCAAAGAATTTCCCGACACCCCTCCACACCCCCATCTTTCTCCAAACCAGCAGACATGATAAACATTACCAACTAAATGAGCGCAGATGGACCGAGACAGCCGCTTGCTCGCTGCACGCCTGGCAAGCGAGGAGCATAGGCTGCAGCTTCTCGGGTACCACGGAGGAAAGATGGGGAGGCGGGTGTGCCAGAAACATGAGATTCATTTCTACATCGGCCTGCAGCTGTGCACACCCGAGATGCAGCCTATGTGAGTGCACTCACAACAGCTGTGAACACAGTTCACCTCAGTGAACGTGGGAGGTCTGCTCCAACACCCGGAAAAACCCAAGCAGATGCAAACAGGAGAAAGCGAGGAGAGAGCAGGGTTCATTATTTTGCTTTTACACAGGGCACACTGAGGCGCAATGACACTGAAAGGCTTATCTAAATCCACAAAAGAAGATTAGAGCAGTGGTAAAAAGAAAAAGTGAACCTAGACCCCTGCGGTCGCTAACCGCAGGGTTTTAATCCCAAAATGCTGATCTTCTCTCTCTCCTTCCCTCCACTGCTTTGTAAGTGGAGGAAAAAGTCAGAAAGGTCTTCAAGCAGGACCTGAATACTTTCAGGATGCTAGATGTACAAGAGGGCACAAACCCCTTTCTAACCACTTTCTCCAGGAGTGGACTGTAGCAGACTCATGAATACAACCGCATTTAAGCACAACTTCCAAGAAAGTATGAGAAAGAGCAAGCAGCTTGAAATCCTGCTAGAACCTACTAAGGCATTTGCTAGCATCAGATTTGCAAATTTTTGGGTTCCAAACTTACCTTTGGAAGTTGATTGGCAACAACCTCATGTTGTGTGACAAACAAAGGTGTTTCTCCAAGGTGTCCATGAGAATGTGGAACTTACTTCCTGAAAGGTTACTTGCCAAGAGCTTTGCTACTGTAAGATTATTTATATTTTGGTCTCTATGCTACTTGTTTATAAAGAAAACAGCCTCAAAATAAACATTCAGCAAAGATAGTGCTAGCATTTGGATGAGATTTTACCTTTTATTGCAAACAGGGAGCAGCTGACAATGTCTCTACACATGCCTGTGAAGAGGTGGCAGCCAAGCTCTCAAAACCACTGAGTTGTAACATCCAATTCTTAAGCACGTGCCTGCTTGGGCACCTGCAGCAGTGGCTGGGGTACCATCTATATTGCTTCTGTCAGAGCACTTGGAGAGCCAGGCTGACTGTAGAGACTTCCATTGATGAGAAAAGAGTTTGACTACAGGAGGATAAGCAGCCTTTCCAGCACAAGTTGCTTTTTCTGTTCCTCTCATCCTGCTGAATGAGGGAGAATGAGCAATCCCGACTTTACAGTGTAATATGCCAGGTCATCTGCCTCCACTCAGCCTGCTTCCTTCACCTTTCCCCTGCCAGTATGAGGGCAAATCAACTCATCATCTTTAAGGCAACAATATTCAGTCTGCTTTTGCTACTGAAGCTTTGAGTTGGCATAGCTATGCAGAATACTTTGTTGTATGATTCCAAAGACCTGCGTTCATTGGGTAATGAAGTGACTACAATTCAGTAATGTCATAGACTCTTGGGTCTCATTTGACCATGATCATGTCATTCATTTTATAAGAACAAGCTTTGCTTAATCAAGGTTCTTCAGCCAAATTTATCAGTGAAGAGGAGCAAACTCTTGAAATGGATAAGACAACTGTAGCCATACTGGTACAAGATGCCTGGGAATTTGATCCATTCTCCACACTTGACTTCTCATTTCTTTTTCTGAGATTGATTGAAAAGCAATTACCTGACTAAAGCATTCACAACAGGAACCACATGGGCTTCTGCTCAATTCACCTTTGTTTTGAGCCAGAGTTCTGTGTTCTAACTCCACATTCCTCAAAGGAGATCATTTCAAGTCCTTTTCAGACTTTTACGTGTTTATGTGTAACTAATTCATCAGCATCTATTGATTCTAAACTTTCAATAGATTCTATATATCTTACTTTTTCATTTCCTTATTGGTCTGGCCTGTTACTTATAGTTTCTTTTTTGTTCAAAAGCTGAAGTGCAGTAAAGTTTCCTTGAAAGGTGTAATGAAGTGTCTTGTTAAAAGTGAATGCTTCAACTTAGCAACTGATACAGATAAATTAACTTGCACTGCCTACAGCCGTGAAATGAGTAATTTGTCGTAGAGATGGTTTAGAATGTGGGGAATTTCATTAAGCATGGGCATCCTCGGGGTTTTCTATTTGTTCTACTAATTAGAGTGTGTTTGCCTAAAGCATCCAGCATGATGTATCAGTCAAAGATGCATGCAAACTGATGAATCCAACCATCCATGGCAAATTTAACAGAGGAAGCCTCGTAGCTTGGAGATTGCTGTGCTTCTTTCCTTTGTGTACTTTCTAGGATGAATAAAGTTGCTGTCCATGACTATTAGGCATAACAATCATTACTGGGATAATATTGCATCTGACAGAGCTGTAATGGTTGGAGGAAATTCTCCACCCTCCCCCTCAACCCCCCTTCCCCCCCAAAGTGGGCTTTTCTAACAAAAAAAAAATCATTTCACAAGCTCAGCAGTCTTTCTCACTTTTAGCTTCTCCAATAAGGAGCCTCTTTTAAGTGGCACTTCAGAAGACTGCACTAGCTACTGCAGAATATCCCTGCACTGGGCTGGAAGATCTGATAGGTGGAATTTAAATTGTTTTCCTTCTGCTTCTATGATTTCAAATAGTTATTTGAAATCTTGGGAATTATCTACAAAACAACAGTGTGCAAATGCAATGCTTGACTTGACAACATCTGATTTTAGGGACCTTAGCCCTTAAAGTATACCAGTACCTCAGGTAACTTGCCTGGGCCGTAGGATTCACCTCCCTGAACCCAGGAGCTGGAAACTTAAGCTCAACTTTAACATCTTATATAAATAAATATAGTAATAATAACGACAGGAGAATCCATCTCTTTTGCAAGATGACTTGCAAAAATGATACCTACCCTCTCACACAAGAACCAGTGACTGAAATACCCCTGTAGAATGTCATGTACGTGGGTTTCAGTTCCTTGCTTGGTTTGGATCTTCAGATCCCCATTTCTCACTTCTCAGGAAGCTGCTAATCATGAAAAATCTAAGTCTTCTGGAAACACCTTCAGTCCCTTGTGGAAATTCGAGACTAGATTCTAAAGTTAAGCTCAAATGAGAGAAAGGAAATTGAGGATGATGTATCAATTAAAATGTATTTTCCAGAAACTAAAAAGGTGCCTTTTCCTTCTCCTCAGACATTAACTGTATTGAGATCAAAAGCTATTCAGGGGTTCGAGTGATCACCTCACACTTGAAGTTCCTGTTGAGGCAAGCCCCCAAAAGATGTTTTCCTCATGAGCCAAATATTCAGTTGCTCACAAGTGCCAAGACAGAGGATGCTGCTGTTGGGGCTAAGGAAGAGTGCATTGGATGACTGGCAAAACAACACTGCAACACAATCTGCAATAAAACTTTTGGTGACTGGGAAGGTAAGCAGGGAATTTGGGGATTGCACTTTCAAATATGCCTATCTCACTTTCAGATCCTTATGTGTTACTATAGATTTAGGTTTTAATCTAATATGCATCTCTCTCCCTTCCCACTGCCCCAGCAGGCACAGTCACTTTTTCTTTAACAAGACAGAAACTCACTCTATTGATTTAGATGGAATAATAGTCGTGTTGCTATTAAAATTCCCCTCTACCTATAGCAAGAATGAGGCTTTTCTAATACAGATTGGTTCGTGCTGTCTTTGAAGAGTGTTTAGAAAGGGATCTGGAGATATCTGCTGTCCTATTAGACAAAGGAAAGAGCTTGGGAGACACTTAAAATGATTTCTTACTGCTCTGTAGCACTGTTCTCAGCTTCTTTTCTCTTCAGAATCTAAGCAGTGACGAGTAATGACAGTAAATGTTTGCAGAGGTCTGTTTGCCATTTATACTACTGTCAGTCAACACAATGTATCTCCAATATTGAAGTTCCCAGTAGCTCGTTACATTTGCCTGTTCAGTCATGCATGTCTTCAGCATATTTTTACACTGACAATAAAAAGAGTTTTCATTTCCAATACATTTTATAGAAATATTTGGTTCCTGGCATGATGAGAATAGCATTATACATATTACTAGAGAAACACTGCAATGCTTAGAGAAACAGAGGGAGAAAGACCAGCTCTGTTAATGTTCCTCTTTGGCTTAACTGGGGCAAAAACTGAATGAAGCTGGAAAACCAGCACAGAGGCTGCAAAAGATCTGGAAAACTCTCACCAGCACCCCAGATAACATAGGCAGAATGGGATTTAAACTAAGGCTCCTCTTGAATAGATTTTTCAAGACCAAATGTTGACAGAAACTCATCTTCCACACACAGTCTGTTTTGGGGAGGAGGTTTGCTAAGGAAAGACCCAGGGTTCTTGGAATATTTAAACTCAGGATTCATTCCAGTATAGGAAAGTAAATATGTTCTTAAAAAATCTCTCCCTTTATCCCACACAACTACTCGAGAGATATCTTGGGAACCCCTGAAAACTCCCAAGAGTAGAATTAACAGAACCAGTTTTAAAGGTATTAAAACCTTAATACTAACCCAAAATTCAACACCTTGGTAATTTATTCAGTCACCTCTCACTGATTTTACATGCTTGCTGATTCTCCTACATCAGCCTTGACCTCAGTGCCTCTAAGTTGACCATATCTGGCTAAAATCCTAATGAACAATAACCAAACTGAATTCAGCTTTTTGACATCTTTGCTATTTAGAGTCAGCTATTCAGTGTTTTCTTTAAGTCTCTGAAT